TGTCTCCCCTGACATGGGGCTGTGTCTTTGGGATGACGCTCTTGTGGGTCCTTGTTCAGCAATGGCTTGTGTCAAAGAGGTGATCCAGACAGACTAGCAAGAGCTGCCCAGTGCCCATGTCCGTGGCGCAGCAGCTCTTTTTCCAGACATGGCTCTTCTCTTTCTTGGGCTGTGGAATCGCATGGAGGGAGAGTCCCTGGGGGGGTACATTCCCTGTGGTCATTGGCTGTGATATCCTCAAGAACCACGCGTCGCTGCTTCTAATTCTGTAAATTATGATGTTGAGAAGCCGAGCCATACAGGAAGCTCCTCTACACAATCACTTCCTTAGACTGAAGGGGGAGCAGGTGGGAGGAAGGGGGTGAGCTGAACTTTGGCGCTCTGGTTTTTCTGTCCAGGAGACCTTTGGTCTCGCTCCGTTTCCCAGCCGAGGTGGGGCGAGTCCTCCACACGGAAAGCCCCACTGTCTCCGTCCTCACCTCCTCTTCTAGGTCAGGGATTCTAAAGCTTTAGTGGTAACAGAAGCCCTGTGGGGGCTCATTCAAACTCATTTCCAGCCCCGTTCCCCGAGTTTCTGAATCCATAGGTTTGGGGTGGACCCTGAGAATCCACATTCTAATGAGTTCCTGGTGGTGCTGACTCACTGGTCCGAGGACCACACTTTGAGAACTACTGTTCTAGACTTAACCAGTTCTCCAACGAGCAGGGGGAGAGGTGTCTGGCCCTTTATCACTTCACCTCTCTGGGCCTCAGTTTCTTTGTCTGTAAAATGGGACTGTGAGCAGTGCTGACCTTGCAGAGAGGTGGTGATGAAGACATGTGCAAATACATGTAAGTGCTAGTGCATCGTAAGGCTTAGTAAGTTCTGGCCTCTATTATCTTCAGGACGCTTGTTTGTTTTATCTGTACCCCCCAGTGCTCGGCAAAGCCTGTAACTCAGGGAATGAGTGACTAAATGTGTGTGCGCCTAGGAGCGTGCTGCTCTGAAACCCGGAGGAGTGAGCCTCGGTTCGGTGAGCCCAGAAAGCCAGCAAAGAAGGCAGAGGGCAAGGAGGCCGTCCCCTGGCTTTGGCAGTTAGGAGGCATGGTGCCCCTTTGCGAGCAGCTTCTCCAGAGAGGTGGGGGCAGAAAAGAGCAACAGCCCCTCAGCCAAGCCCTGCATTTAATCCTCATGACACCCCATGGGGCAGGCGTTTGACCCACTCTGCAGATGAGGAAGCTGAGGCTTAAAGACACCTGGGGGTCTGGTCTAGGTGGCATAGCTAGTACGAAACGGGGGTGATTTTCTAAAGGATTTCAGAACTAGGACTCTTCCTCTGGACGCTGGTGAGCAGAAGGCTGAGGGTGAGCCACCAAGGGAACAGCAGGGGCAGACAGCCACGCCGAGGCCCTCACAGGGGCTCGGAGGGTCCCTCCTGCTGTTTGTGAGAAGTCCTGGGCCCAGCTTCCCTCCCTGGACTGATTCCGAGGTGCCCCTCAACTCCTGAACCTCAGTCTGAAAGATGTGCCACTGGCTCCATTGGGGACAGAGTGGCACCATGAGGGTGGATGGCAACTCGAGTACCAATGTGCCCTCTGCCAGTTTTGCCATCTCAGTGTGTACACAGACATGCACACGTGAGGTGTACACACACACAGCACATGCATGTACATACACACATACATAAGCACTCAGGTGCACAAGCAAACCTGCCTGCACACACACACACACTGTAAACATCTATGGTGAGGTTCAGGTCCCCCTCTGTCAGCACCCGCACGCTCTCCTGGGTGTGAGAGTGATGTTAGCAGGGGTAAGTGAGGGGAGGTGGTAATCCCACTTCTGTGCCGTGCACCCAGTTTGTCCAGAAGAGGGGAGGCGCGCAGCCTGCGGCTCGGGGTCAGAACTTCCTCTCGCACAGACCATGAGGTCAGCGTGGGCTCAGAGCCTCCTTCAGGCCCGGCAGGGGAGGGGCTGCGGGTCCGGGTGTACGGCTCCAATAGCGTTGCTCAGACCAACGGGGCTTTCAACTCAGACTCAGCCGACTTCTCAGTGTCGTGCCAAATCCTGAGCAGCAAACATTTGTAAGCATAACGTGACTCTTGGATCTTTAAAAACGTCAGCCGTCTGTTGGCCAAACCATTGTCAGATAAGTGCCAACAGCCACCCAGGAAACAGTCCCTCCTGCTTTGATCACTTAAACGCTATCAGCCTGCAGTTCTGGAGGGTCCATGGAGGCCAGGTTCCCCCTGACCTCGGGGGTGGGGGTGGGTTAGTTTATTGTGTGTCTATCATGGGCCCACCGGCGCTGGGACACACAGTTTGCAACTTTCCCACATGGAGGCTTTGGCCAGTAGTGCGGCAGTTGGGATCCGGATGCAGTCACAGGACCCAGACGTCCAGGCCGACCCACGTGGAGACGGGAGGCAGGGTGGTCCCCAGGGAACAGGTGCCGGAGCTTTCAGTGTCACTCTGGCCTTAAGGAGCCGGGAGGCATCCATGTGCTCCGCGTCCCTCTGAGATCAAGGCGGCGGCTGAATCACACTCTTGGCCCTGCGTCTCCCTTTCCCCCAGTACACTACTCAGAGCGTGCGCTGGCGTCCAGACCCAGCCCGACTCTGGGAAACGCTCGGGGGGTTCTCTTGCGCGCTCTGCGGGTGCAGCCACACGCGGCTGTGCACATTTCAGTTCCCCAACCCGCCAGCCTCGTTTCCGGAGCTCACTGCCCACCTGGCGGCTCCGCCCTGTGGCCGCAGCTTCAGGGGGAAGGGTCTACCGTGTGGGCCAGGTGGGTTTCATAGCGTTCACATTTGATCACCGGAGCAGAGTAAAGACGGAGGTATGAAGCGTCTCGAATGTCCACCCGCAGAGGACTGGGAGCACAGAGTGTGCCACGTCCTCACAGTGGGGTGACCCTCAGCCATAAAAGGAACGCAGCACTGATCATGCTACATGTGGACGAGCCTCGGAGACACGCTGAGTGAAGGCAGCCAAGCAGCCAGGCACGGAAGGCCGCAGACAGTGTGATTCCGCGCATGCGAGACGCCCCGAGCAGGCCGACCCAGAGACGGGGGGCAGGTGCGCGGTGGCTCCGGCTGGGGGCAGGGTGTGGCTTCAGGCCTCGCCTTGTCATTCGCGCAGGGCCCCCCGAGCCTCATCTGTCACTCGGCGATACGCATGTTGATGAAGGTGATGATGTAGCTCCTCCCCCTCCCCCACGGTCTACCCCAAGCATCGTATGTACGAAGGCCAAACGAGACAGTGAAAAGTGAGCGTGCTTTACAGACTGAAAGGGGCTGTCCAGCTTGGGTGGTAATTATGGTCCTTTAAGAAATGAATGGTGTGGAGCCACCTGGCTGGACTGCGGAGGCTGGGGCCTGCCGAGAGCTGTGCTGCTTTCTCCCTGGGACAGACGGTTGATGCCCCATTGGACAGCTTAGCCTGTGGGCCACGTTGTGCCTAGTCTTTGAGGTACTGACCAGGCAGTGAACCCTATCAGCTCCAGACTGTGTGTCCATTATACTCAGAGGCCTCAGGGCCTTGGGTCTCGATGTGAACCCTATGTATGCTGTGTGGGGTTGAGCACCGAGGCACCTGGAAAATTCCAGGAGGAAGGGGTACCTTGATTTAAAAAAAGAAATGAGAAGCTCTCAGATGTGGTCTTTTGGCCAGGAGCGTGAGCAAGGCCTGGGAACTACTGAGAAGTGCAGCCCCGGGGGCCCATCCTAGCCCTGCTAAATCAGAGCCTGCATCTCAGCAGGATCCCCAGGGAACCAGATAACAGGGATGTTTGGGGGGCCAGCTCTACATTGGCATCGGGCACTGGAGAAATCCCAAAGCCAGCACTTAAGGCCTCTTGAAAACACAGAGCTGAGCAGAGTGACTGGTACAGGATGAGTTACCTCCAGCCGGCAGCATCCCTGTGTGCCAGCCATTGGCAGGTAGGGATCATAATGAGAGCCCACGGGTCATTGCAATTGAAGTGTGAACTGTTCAGGAATTAAGCTGAGGATAGTGGTTTCTTCAACAAGAAACACAGGGTTTTGGTGGAAAACATAAAGGGGGTCCTGATTAAATGGGGCACAAGCTATGTGTCAAAATTCATTCTCAGCTTGGGCGGTTCTGGCCCCCAGGGACCTTGTGCAGTGTCTGGAGGCATTTTTGGTTGTCATAACTGGAGCAGGGGTGGGGGGCGGTACTGGCATCTAGTCGGCAGGGGCTGGGCTGCTGCTCAACACCATACAAAGGCCAGGATGGCCCCTCACAAAAATGACCCAGCCCCAAGTGTCAGGAGTGCCGAGGCAGAGAAGCCCCGGTCAGGCCTAGTGGGACGCGCACACACACACACGCATCACTTCGGAAACTCATGAGTATCACATAATCGTTTGGTGACGCGTAGCAGTCGACGGGGGGCATGGTGGACCATGGAGGAGATTCTGAAGTGACGATAACAAACCAAGTATGGTAACGAGGCAAATGTGAAGGAGTTCAGTGGAACAGAGTAGCTGCCAGAGCCGTTTTAATGAAAGCGAATAGATCAGATACATCAAGCGGAACACACCTAATGGTGTAGAAAGGGCTTCAGAATTCTCTTCGTGGACCTACGTGTCTAGCCATAAGCAGACATGCCCAGCAGGCCTAGAGCCGCATCCCACGCTGCATTTCCAGTGTTCCCGCCCCTCCTCGGCCCTCTCCTAACTGGGCCCCCACCTCTCCGTGGTGTGGCTCTTCCATTCCAAGCAGGGCCTTGAAGGTTGGGGATAAGAGGAGTCAATGAAATTCTCCCTACGTAGAATCCAGAACTTGAGCCCGGACTGTATGAGGGATGTGGGGGCTGCAGGCGGAACAGCCAGAGGTCGGGGCTCTCCTGTACATTTTCTGAGCGTCCACTTCCTATCCGTGCAGTGGGCCTCAACCCAGGTGCCGCTGGGATCAGGTGAGGGAACGTGGGCCTCCTGAGGGACATGGCGTTGGGGTGTTGTAACTGGGCACCATGCCCTCTGTTTGCTCTTGGCCGCAGATGAGGTCCGGTTGTTTGCCTTCGTGCGCTTCACCACCGGGGACGCCATGAGCAAGAGGTCCAAGTTTGCCCTCATCACGTGGATCGGCGAGAACGTCAGCGGGCTGCAGCGGGCCAAAACCGGCACGGACAAGACCCTGGTGAAGGAGGTGGTGCAGGTGATTTGCCTCATGTTCTTTTAGGGTCCGGGGTGTCATCATAATAGGGGTGGAGAGGGCTGGGTTTGGCCCCTGGGCCTGTGACTTTGCTGGGACTTCAAGCCATGCCACGTCTCTGGACCACTAGAGCCACTGGTGAAATGTCACCAAAGCCATTTTCAGTGTAGGCTAGGAGGTAGGGAGCCGTGTTCGTGATCTTGACTCTTACATAACAGAGGCGTGGCTGCTGGGAGTCTACCTTTGAGGGTGCAGCAGGTGGTTCCTGAAGAAGGGGGCCGAGGGATGACCAAATGGTGGCCCCTACCAGGCTGGGTCGTGGATGAATATGGTCAGCTTCTGCTGGTGGCCATGAGGACCTGGTGGGAATTCATGCGGGTGCTCTCTGAACAGTGCCTGGTATGCAGTAGGTGCTCAGTGATGCTTGTTGAATGAACCAGTGTCAACCTCATGAGGGCCAGTGAGGCTTTATGATGATGTTGGCGGCCATAGAATGACAACAGTGGCCCAGACTCCAAGAGAGGGGGCTGGGCACTGGCCACGAGTGACTTATTCCCCGGGCCCCTTAGACTGAAGGGAGGGCAGGGGGGAGTGTACCGCGGTTTTGACTTTGAGCACCTGAACCTTTCTGCGGGGACAGCTCTCTATTTTCAACTGCTTTTCCATTCTGGACAGAATGAAACTTGACACCATGGAAACTTCCAAGGTGGTTCATCTGGGGCTAGGGCATGGAGGAAAGAAAAATTTGAATTCTAGAAGATAACCAGGGGCAGGGGGCCATCGGAGAGAATTCTCTGCTTCCCAAGCCTCTCCATTTTGCAAAAGGATTTCTCAGAATCCCGTGATGAGGGAGGTGGTAGCTGACGGGTGGGGGGTTTCTTTTTGAGGTGATGAAAATATTCCCCAAAAGTGATGGTGGTGATGGTTGCACATATCTGTGAATGTAAGAAAAGCCATTGAGTTGTAAAACACAAAATACACAAGCCATATGCAACGTGGTAGCCTGGACTGGACCCTGGAACAGAACAGGAAAACTGACGAAATGAGAATGAAGTCTGGAGTTTAGTTACTAGTAATATTGCAGTGCTGGCTCCTGAGCTGTGACACATGCCATAGGAACGTGACATGTTAACAATCGTGAGAACAGCGTACAGGGTGTATGGGAACTCTTGGAACTGTCTCTTGCAACTTCTCTGTGAATCTAAGCTTATCCCCCAAGGAAACTTTTATTTAAAAAATCATAATAGGGGAGAAAACAATTCCCATCATTCCATTAGCACAACCTGTTTTCCTGTCCTCTCACCAGCTCTGTGGGCGAGCGTCCCCACCTTTGAGCGTTGCTGCAGTCACAGCCTGTGAATCTCTCTCCGGCTGGTTGTTTCTTTCTTTCTTTTTTTCTTTTTACTTAACATATTTTCATAAATTATGTGGTGGTAGAGCCTTTGTAGTGAACGTTTTTCTGATGGCTGGCTGTCCCATTTCACAAGTGTACTGTACTGTACTAAATGTTCCCCTGTCGTTGGCCTGTGGCTTCCAATTTTTATTTTTATAAATAATGTTCCCACCAAGATTTTAATCCATGCAGCTCCTTTCTCTCTCTTGCTGAATCATTTCTTCAGAATACATTTTCAGGAGGTAGGGTTCTGGAGTTAAAATGCATGATGATTGTTTTTAAAAGGTATGAGATGTAAGATTACCTTGGAGACATAGTAAATATTCAGTAAGCTTCATTTATTTCACATCCTCATCAGCATTACTGGTTACTGCTGCTGTCTGCACTCTGGTACTGACAGTCACCCTTGCTTTGGAAAATCACCTGTACCACCCTACTGGCCATTTTTCTCCAGTCCAGTTTGAATTTTAATGGTGAACCAGCTTTCTGGGTCTCCTTTATGGCAGCAGAATGAAAAACGCAGAGGAAAGCATGTTCCATGGCCACAGGCCTCCTGCTGGATCCTACCATCGACGCTTAGCCTTCTTCCAATGGCCAGCCTGGAGGTCCCCAGAAGAGGGCCCCGGGGGGACAGGGTTTGCCAGGGTGTGTCTGGTGGGGACAGAGTCTTCTGAATCTTGCAGAGCTCCCTCCCTTTTTCTTTCCATTTAAAAACGTGTGGCAAAATACAAAAACAAAACTGTTTTAGCCGTTTTCAAGTGCACAGTGCAGTGACGATGAGCACACGCACAGAGCTGTGAGGCCACCACCGTTGGCCAGGTCCTGCACTTCGCCACCTTCAAAGGAAGCCCTGTGCCCATCAGCAGTCTGCACAGCTCCTTTTAAGTCTAGAACTCTTCCCAGGTGGGTCACGTGGGCCAGTGACCAAGGGTGATTTGGGGAAATACGAATCTTTGGTGGGAACCTTCAGCTGGAAGTATTGACTATAATCCATTTATTTGTAAGCACAACTATATCGAAGCAAAGCAGTTGGGCTTGCCTGGCTCTCTGAACTGGGATCCGCAGGGTGGCTGGCTTTAGGTGTGGCTGGATCCAGGGCTCACGCACTGTCTTTCTTTCATCTCTCTTTTCTCTGGGTTTGGCCTCAGAGGCCTCTGACAGTAGGAGAAACGGCCCAGGCTGTGGTGGTTCTTCTGGGTCTTGATCCCAGCGGTAGAGCCAACCTTCCTCATTAGTGTCAATCATTCTCTTAAAAGAACCGTGATTGGCCCAGCTTAGTCAGAGGCACGTCCTGTGGGGCAGGGAGGCGGGGCTTCATGATTGGCAGCTCTGGCGTGATTGCAGTTGTTAAAGGAAGAGGGTGATGGTGGATGAAAAAGCAGTGATGTCCATTCTGACATTTTTGAACTGCAGGTGCAACGTACTATTTTGATCATTTCCTTTTACATTGTCTACCTCTGCATTTAAAAGGTTTTATTATCTGAAGCTGTTACAAGACCTCACATTTGTACCAGGGTTGCAAATGTGGCCATTTAAGCTACAAAGGGTCGATTATGCTGGCGTTAATGGTGTCTTTTGACAGCCACTAAAAGCATGCTGATCCTGGCACCCTGCCAGTTTCCCCTTCTGTTCGTGGAGATTCAGAACAGATGTTTTCAAGGGATCTTCCAGATGGGCCCTTCTGGATTCCAGGTCCCCGACTGGATCACTTCCCCGGCCACCATTTGCTACAATTTCTAGGCGAAGAATGAGTGGATTGACTTTTAGTTTAAGATTATTAATAAACCCTTGACTTTTACTGTAATGAAGATAATATATCCATATCCTTTTGCTTTGTGTGAAACACAGAGAATGTAAATTGACGTAGAGACACTGGGATCAAGAGAGGTGGGTCTTTATGCTGCCTGCCAGTCTCCCTTCCCTGGCCTCAGTTTCCCCATCTAAGTGAGTTGGATGAGTTGGCTTGCAGTGTCGTATTCTGGCTTGACATATTCTGAAATAATTCTGTTTAAAAAATGGTACTTAAATTTTGCTTTCATATTCTGTTTTGACATATTCTGAAAATTTTTAATTAAATATATGCAGTACTTTGTTTATGATGGCATCTTTCCTCCGCAGGAGCCTTGTTTTACTTTGTCAGACAGTGTATGTAGTGCGTGGTGTGGGGTGTGGCCTTTTGAGCCCGATGGTGTGGGTTCTGATTTCAGCTCTCACTTACTGTGTGGTCTTGGCCCCTTTGCTTAAGTCTCTGGGCCTCAGTCCCCTAAGGGCTAAAACGGGGTAATGTAGTCTCTGCCCCTAGAGTTGCTATGGGGATTCAACGAGCAAATCTAGGGAAAGGGCCCAGAACCATGTCTGGTGTCTGGGAAGACCTGGAAGTGGTGGCTCTTATTTTCCCCAGCTCTCCCTTTTAGGCAGCGCTGGGATGCATACATCACTTCCTAGGAGATGGGAGGCCCACGTGTTGAGCCACAGGGCATGAATGTTCTTGTTGCTCCACATTGGCTGATTGTCCTGCATATGGCTTGAATCAGAGTCGCAGCCATCAGTAAACAGAAGGTCCTGGCCTGAAGTCAGCCAGTGCTGACCTCACACAATTCATGCCTCACCTGGGCCTGCAGCATAGGCACACCAGCGTATGGGGAAACTGAGACCCAGAGCAGTGCTAGGACTTGCCCCAAACCCCTGGCTAATAAGCAGCAGGTCTGGGCTGGAGCCCAGGAGAATTAAAACTCAGGAGTTGATTGTGGGTCTCTTTACTCCATATTCAGAGCCAGGCTAAGAAACTGAGCCATGCCTGTGGCTGGGGAAAAACAAGACAAAATAAGACAGGGGATGTGGGCGAGTTGGTCTGGGCAATAGTGACATCCAGATGAGTCCAGGGAGTGGACAGCATGCACGGCCACTTCACCACGGCCATCGTCTGCTGCACAGTGCCTGGCTGGTGCTGGGCACACAACAGCTGCCCCATTGTTCTGGCGCCTCCGTGGGATCACAGGGACAATGCAGACACCTCCCTTGGGCACCTGCCTGTGCGGGGCCAGGCCACCTGATTCACAGCAGACTCATTCAGTGGTGTCCGGTGCTTGCCTTGCAGAATGGCTTTACTCACGTGATCCTTTTATTTATTTTTTAACATCATAGGAATGTTCACAGAGCCAAGGAACCAGAGGGTACATCTCAGCCCTCAGCCCTGGGAAGAGAGAAGAGCTGAGAGTGTTTTCTCCAAGGAGCAGCGGGGGCAGGCATTTCAGTGGCACTGGGGCCCCTTAGCTCAGGGTGTATTCTGATGGCTTCTAGACCCTAGGAGCAGGGTGGGCTAAAAGTCTGGACCTCTTCCCGCTCCCCCAGGGCCAGAACCAGATGCACCTCACACTCCCCCAGGAAGGTCACATTTGTGTGTTGGGGGGTGGGGCATGATATTCATAGCACTGGCTTCACTGTGCCCCTACCATGTGCCTGGCACTTTCAAGGACTTGGCGCATATTAAACTCATTTATTCTTCACAACAGGATGTTCTGTCATGATCCACTTTTTATAGATGAGGAGGCTGGGGCCTGGGGAAACTGAGTGATTTGCTCAAGGTCCCAGCGCTTGGACACAGCAGTGG